AGGGAAAAAAAATCAAGGGAGAGAAATGAATTACAGTAGATGGGGTAGAGAGAGAAGATGGGAGGGGAGGGAGGGAGGCTAGTAGAGGATAGGAAAGATAGCAGAATACAACAGTCACTAGTATGGCAATATGTAAAAACGTGGATGTGTAACCGATGTGATTCTGCAATCTGTATATGGGATAAAAATGGGAGTTCATAACTCACTTGAATCAAATGTATGAAATATGATATGTGAAGAGCTTTGTAATGTTTTGAACAACCAATTTAAAAAAAAAAAAGATGGGAGGTAAGAAATAAATACATGGCCTTCAGTCTCCACAGGTCCAGCTCCTGTAGTTTCTACCAGTCACAGATCAAAATTATCTGGATAAAAAAATTGTGCCTATATTGAAATATATGGACTCTTTCCCCTATAATCATTCCCTAAAGGATACAGTAAAACAATAATTTATATAGCATTTAACTTGTATTCAGTATTTGGGTTTTTGATTGTTTTATGAGATGGGGTCTCTAACATTGCCCAGCCTGGTCCTAAATCTTGGGCTCACGTGATTCTCCCACCTCAGCCTCCCCAGTAGCTGGGACTACAAGTGTGTGCTACCATGCCTGCTTGTAAAAGCAATCTAGAGATGATTTAATATATATGGGAAGATGTGCACAGGTTACATACAAATACTATATTTTAACACATGRGACTGAGGATCTGTGGGTTAAGGTATCTTTAGAGGGTCCTGGAAAATTTCTTTTTTTTTCTTTCTTTTTTCTTTTTTTTATTATGGTGCTTGAAATGAAACAGAAATTCACACATGCTAGGCAACCGCTATACTGAGCTACATCGTTAGCCCAGGGTTCCTGAAATCAATACCCAGTGCATATACATTTGCTAATAATCATTATGATAAAGAAAGCATATGCTTCTAGGTCATGTTATTATTATAATTACCAATATAATTATAAAAACATTTTATGCCCTTTTCCTACAACCAATTCCATATATTGCATACCTGTAACTTATACACTTCCGTGTTCTTGTTGACCTCCTTTCAAGCAAGTTTGCTTTTGATTTTTTTGAATCTTTTTTCTTTTCTTCTTGATCTTCAGAAAAATCTGGCTCCTTTCAAAATATAAAAATACAGGTAAAACAGAACAAAATTCCTTGGGATTAGCAGTGTTGTAATCAACATCTAGGTGACACATGTGAAAGGTCTGAAAAAATGTGACATTATCCTGCCCAAAATGAATATAAACAGCAACATTAATTGTACAGGCATAAAAAGGAATACTAGTGGTGAAAGGATGAAAATCTTCTGTATGAAAATTCTTCTACTTTTTTGAGTTTATAATTGCCTGTTTTAAAACTATCAGGATGAAGTTTTTCCACTGGTACAGTCTTTTAACCAATTAAATTTGACACACAGAAAATACCCAATAGGTATGTATGCTGAATGAATAAAGTAATTGATTTAAAAGAAAGGGTGTGATGCTGAAAGAAAATAACTTCACAGTCTGTGATTTAATTAATTAAGTCTGAATGAAACTGCTTATCAAATGAGTAAAGGCTCTTCATTTCAAAAGAGAAACCATGTTCCATCTACTCAGCAAGAGATACTCTTCTTCATTATACATTATTAAATATACAATGATAAACCTTCAAAGAAACCAAATTGCATCAATATAAATTAAAGTGTTCAATAATGCTAAAAAGCAGGAAATTAAAAACCCAATCACCTTGAACTATTCTTCAGTACTTTACATAAATAACATGAAAACATATACAAAAATTATCTGATTTGGGTAAAAACAATGGAACATAAAACCCCAAGCAATGAACATCCAATTTAGCTTTAATAAATCACATTTTTGGGTTATCTGCACATATTTTTATTTCAATCATGATCATAGGTAATTTATTTAGGGTTTTAAATTTAATTTTTAGCAATATAATATATATATATTTATATATATAATGTATATATTATATATTTAAAACTAGCCCCATTACAAAAATGAGTTAAATTTTAGAACAATTAAGCCCATATCTCCTTTGAAAATACTGTAAGCAAGAAACTTACTTGTGGAGGAATGATGTTTTCAATACTGATACCCACGTACACCAAGCGTTCTTTCCTTTAAGTAAAAAACACAAAATAAGATTTGTGGAAAAAAATTATGAAAATATTGCTAATGCAGACAATAAAATTAGAATTTCATGATAAGTAGAGGCTATATCACAGACATATTTATTATTAACACAACTTCAGAAAGGGATAAAAACTATACTTTTAGAACTGACTTATACTTGTTTTTCTGGTGTGAGGTTTTTTTTTTTTAAATTTGTTCTAATTAGTTGTATATGACAGTAGAATGCATTTTGACACATCATACACAAATGGAGTATAACTTCTCATTCATCTGGTTGTATATGACAGAGTTCATGTAATGTCTGATTCATTCTATCATTCCTACATCTATGCCTCCTCTGCTCTTTACACTCACCTGTTTCATCCAAAATACCACAATTCTCTGTCCCCTTATTGTGAATTAGCATCTGTATATCAGATAAAACATCCAGCTTTTGGTTCTTTGGGATTGGCTTATTTTGCTTAGGATAATATTCTCCAGTTCCATCCACTTAATGACAAATGCCATAATTTCATTCTTCTTTGAGGGTAAATAATATTCCATGTGATACCACAGTTTCTTTATCCATTCATTTGTTGAAGGGCACCTAGGTTGGTTCCCTAGTTTAGCTATTGTGAATTGAGCTGCTATAAACATTGATGTAGCTGTTCACTGTAGTATGCTGATTTTATGTAGAATTGACTTATTCTATTGAAATAAACCTTATAACTGAAATAGAAAAGGAAGCTTTATCAAGAGTCACGCTGTGACCTGATATCATTAAAAAAGAATTGTGTATAATAAAACCATATCAAGGTCCCAGTGAATGACACTAATACCACTCAATTCTTGCTATAGAAAAGAGAAAGAGCAATACAGACATAGGCTCTAAATTCTGCAGTGCCACAACAAAAGATACCTTTGGAGCCATAATATGAGGATATGAAGCACTATTGACATCGCCACAGTTTTATTTCCAACAAATCTTTGTTGATTTTAATTCAACAAATATTACATTACAAACAGCTATATATAACAGGTGCATTCTCTGGTTCTCCCTAAAGTTAATCCAGTTCAATAAGGATAGCTGAATTCTGATATGCCAGGGTGTATTAGTGAACTAAAACAGTAACCATTCTTCCTCTCTTGTAATCTCTCTTCTGAAAGGAAGTTAATGTATCTGCTTGTCTGGGTCCTTTAGCTTTTATGCTCTAGAAACCTTGACCCTGTTAATAGGAATCTCAGAGAGAGGTTATGAAGCTATTAAATAAAAACTGGCATGTTATGAAAATGATAAAATGATTTTAATAAAAAGCCTGATAAAAATACAATTAAGTAATAACTAGGAAAGACAAGAACAGTACTAACTGGACTAAACAGGGAATACTTTATGACTTGAACTATCTCTGTTATTAAATATATATGATATATTACCAGTCCTTACAATAACCATGTTTATTGAAATACCAGTTCTCTCCTTTATGGGTCAAAATTTCTGCTTTACCTTGGCCCCGTCTCTCTGAAGAAAATTTACTTATTGATTGATACACTGATTTATTAATTTTGTGGTACTGGGAGTTGAACCCTAGGTCTCACATATTCTAGACAAATACTGAGCTATATCCCCAGCCCAAGTTTTAAACTTTTATTTGAGCTGAGGACAAGCTAAATTGCTCTGACTGGTTTCAAATTGTGATCCTCCTGCCTCAGCCTCCCAAGTAGTTGGGATTATAGATTGGCAACACTTTTCCATGCCCTAAAAAAAATCTGTTCACACTCATTATATTTGATCAAGATTTGTGTCAGGCTTGGGAATCCTTAGGTAAGTAACAGTTCCTGCAATCATTTTGTACTCTAAATCCAACAATTCTTTTATTTCAGTAGAACTCTATCCACTGTCCATTACTCTCTTTATGTCCTTACTTTCCTCTTGACCTGGCGTACACTCCCTGTTCCATCATTAAAAATACTACTTTGGTATCAAGAACTCAAAGCTAGCCTCAGCAAAAGTGAAGCACTAGCACCTCTATGAGACCCTGTCTCTAAATAAAATACAAAATAGGGCTGGGGATGTGGCTCAGTGGTTGAGCGCCTCTGAGTTCAATCCCCGATACTACTCCCTCCTGCCAAATACTCCTTTGCATACACTTTCAAATTCCTTGTCTCTTTCTATCTTTCCCTTTTGTTATATTATATGGAAAATTCCAACCCTGATTAAATTCAACTCTCTGTTAGCAAACTACTAGTAATAATACTCTGGAAACACAGAGATGTCTGAATTCCAAATAATACCAAGCTCTGGAAGAGACCATTATAAAATAGAGTAGATTTCACAGAGCATCACAACTCCATATCTCAGATAGTTGCAAGCTAGTCACTAAATATTCATTGACATGTCCCTCTTTTCCACTAGACTATAGAGCCCATTAAGGTAGAGATTACATTATACCCTTCATGGTGAATATACTGCATGGCATGAAGCAGATACCCATTAAATGAAATCCAACAATATTTTATAATTGAAGCAGCATATCCTATTGTATATAAGGCCTTTGTCAAAACAATCTTCACCAGACTTTTGCATGTATAAATAGCATAAGCATTACAGACTTCCAAAGAATAAGCAGATATAATCTGAGTATCAGACAGAACTCTTAGTGGTTTATATTCTTGGCTTTTAGAAAGAAGACATTCTCTTCTAAGCCCTTAAATGGGCGAGCTTCAGGACATGGGAAAATTGTTCATTTCTAGAAGGACAGGCAGATTTCAGAAAGATTGAGACCGATAAAAAATAAGTTACTATTTAATTTGAAGAATTTTTAGATTTTTCTAAGTAAAAAAAAAAAAAAACAGAAGAAACTCTGCACATCAAAATATATCTAATAATTTTATGCAGAATTATTCTTCATTTTTGAAAATGTCCTTAGAAAATGTTATAAATATTTGAAAAACTAGTTGTTTATACAAATAACCCTTGGTTTCTAAATTCAAAGATATTTAGACAACTAAGTTTAAAAAGTTAAACACTATCTCTAAATCAGTTTTGGAGATTAACTTGCCTTTAAATGAAGTAGCATCCTCTATGACCTGGACAGCTCAAATTGAATTGTGAAAAAAAAAAAAAAAACTAAAGTTAATGTTGTGGAGGCTGAAATTTATTAAATTTCACTTTGGATTATAGAATTAGCTAATTTAAGGCAAACTAAAATTTGAAAAGCAGACAATGAGTCAAAGGACATAAGTTTAAGAGGTAAAAAATTAAAATACTAAGACCAATCAAAGGGCACTGTTTAGATATTCTCATCCTATATGAGTAAACAAATGGGCACTGAGTCCTATAAATTAATCCTCTGAATGTATCTCCAACATGTCTACCTTACTATCCCCTAGTACAGGCCTCAGAGGCTCTCATAAACTCKCTCTGCAGCGCCCAGAGCATTTTTTCTTCTTTTTTTCTTGTTTAGTCAGAAATATACCTTTATTATCATATTTCATAATCTAAAAGCTTCTTTTAAAATTCTGGTAACAGAATATTTCAACTTCTGCACAACTGACTGGCCCTGCAGAATACTGGAAAACAGTTTCTAAGCAACCTGAACTTTATAGATAAGAATCTGTAATTTAGTTTGGAAAGAAAGAAAAAACAGTTCAAATCAATATTTTTCCACTGTAAGTCAATTTATTCTTCAGTTATACTTTGAACATGTTTTCCTAGAAACTTTGGTGAATTCTCCAAAAAAGCGACTGCCTCAAGTATAAGGTTAACTTCCCAGGGAGATAAGAAAGAGATCTTAAAATAGGACATAAAAGAGACATGGCACACAGCTTAAGCCTTGGCATGTAAGTAGAGTATCCCTCTGAATAAGCCATCTCCCATATTTCAATAGTAAATTATGTCTTGATGTAAGTATAACATACATAACACATTTCCTTGTATGGGGGTTAGACTTTAGCTCAAACTTAAAAGCAAAAATTTTAGCTAGGCGGAGTGGCACTCTTCTGTAATACCAGCAGCTTACTTAGGAGGCTGAGGCAGGAGGATCATATATATATATATATATATATATATATATATATATATATATATATCTATATATATATATATATATATAGAGAGAGAGAGAGAGAGAGATCTATATCTATATATCTATATATATATCTATATATATATCTATATATATATTTACTTTTTAGTTTTAGGTGGACACATATCTTTATTTTATCTTAATGTGGTGTTGAGGATCCAACCCAGTGCCTTGCGCATGCCAGGCAAGTGTGCTACCACTTGAGCCACATCCCCAGCCCTGGATCACAGTTTTAAAGCCAGTCTCAGCAACTTAGTGAGGCCCTAAGCAACTTAGTGAGACCCTGTATCTAAATAAAAAATACAAAGGGGCTTAGGGATGTGGCTCAGTGATTAGGCGCCCCTGAGTTGAATCCCAGGTACAAAAAAAATTTTTTTAAATATGATAAATCTCAAATTATTTGTCTCATGTAATGTATATAGATTATGAAATTATGGTGCTTTCTGAAGTTCACTGAATACCACTATCAAAGAGAGATGCCATGTCCTCTTAGCATGTTAAAGGAACATTAAAATTACTAGCTACTTTAAATGAAACAAAAATCTGGCTACAGCATTTTTTTTTTTTTAAGTTCTTGTCTTTGCATACACATTATGGGACAAAGAACATGCACTATAACTAGCAAGTCATTTTTTAGTATGGAAAAGCTAATGTGCAACCATGGTCCAAGCATCAATATTAGATAGTGTCCAAATTAAATGATACTACAATGTTTGCCTAAACAGTGATATTTACAGCAGTATTTTTCCCCACTTAATAACTACCTACATACCAGACGAATTGTCTATCCCATAAGCCAAAGGTCAAACTGAACACTCAAAAAATCAACATTGCCATTACCACAAGTTTAAAATACTTAAAATGAGGAGTAACAGTTTTCAGTTTATTGGCATTTTAAGTAACTGCTTTATTACTTACTCTTTTTTTTTTTTGGTGCTGGGGATTGAACCCAGGGCCTTGTACATGTGAAGCAAGCACTCTACCAACTAAGCTATATACACAGCCCCTATTACCTACTTTTAATATACTGCTAATCCAATGCTTACTGCAATAACAGTCATAATTCTACTATTGTTAATTAGATTATAGTTTTAATGTTTTAAAATAAGAGAATTTAATTTACAAACCTATATAGTTTTAAACCAATAGTTTTAATCACCTACCACAAACACACACTTTCTCTATGTAGATTTAAAAATAAATTATTAACATAGCTGATTATATATACAGTTTGCATGTGCTTTATATATATGTGTATATATTTGTGGACATAATTGCTCTTGTTTCCAGAACAATGTCAGCACTTGAAAACTCTGCACAAGACCTGATGGCATTGAAAAATTTATGGGAAAAAAATATGGAAATTCATTCTAGAAGAAAATTTTAAAGCAGGAGATTCTCAAAAAAAAAAATAGTTTTTTGTGGAAACAAAAGCTATTTTGGGAAGACAGTATTAGATTCTGGATCCTATATGCATTATTTAGTTCAGAAATTATGTGAATGTTTTGAACAATAATAAAAAAATTTAAAAAAAGAAATTATGTTAGAATACACTGTACAGGAGAACCCCAGATACTTGGTTAAAAGGTAAGAAAGTATATTTTACTCATCAAAGGGCAAAGCAGCAGGAGGCAAAAGGAGCCGCTGGCTGGAAAACTTAAGCCAGCAAAAAGAAAGTCATGCCCACGGTTAATAGAGAGCAAGCTGCTGATCCACAGTTAATAGAGAGCAAGCTGCTGATACTACCAGGGAAGAGGGTCTTAAGGCTGCAATGCTTCCAAGATGGTCCCAGTGCATTACATGTGCCATGTACTGTCATGCCAAGTGCTCAGAGGCTGCACCAATGATGGGTGCTGATCAAAAGAGTTTTACCACCTTCCAAAATGATACCACAGAAACAKTTATTAGGACAGAGGCTGGCAGCATGGTCAAAGGGTGCAGATTACTCAGCTAAAGAAGACTGCACAGATATGCCAAAAATTTGAGTAAACATGCATCTATGGACATAAAAAACCTGAATCAAACTAACAAACTGAAAAGCAATCTGTCAAATGAAAACTGAAATCTGACTGAACAAGTCCCTTATGCAACCTAAAGAGTAAAATCTTGACCAGTAGAAAACTCCAGAGAAACAGAAATCTTACTTTGTTGGCTTTCAAATTAATTGAGAAGAAGGTTAGATACAAACAAAAAAATCTTTAATTCACTGCTATTAACAGAACTTTTCCATTCCTTGCCTCACATTTTAGAAGGCAGTGGGCACAGATGAAATTTCTTCTAGTGTCTGACATCTTATGAGGCCCCAGGCCTGAGCATTAATGACCAATGCACAAGGGGTCCAGGTGCCAGGACTACTGAAGACTGGGTCAATTATTTCAGCAGCTGGAGCTTTGTTTTACTAAAACTTTAAGATAAGGTTGTTCCTTCTCAGTGTTCTTTTTGTAATTTTTTATTGCTTTTAAAAGGATGTTATAAAAAAAATAATAAAAAAAAATAAAAGGATGTTATAATAAAATTTTGGCTGAGATTCCCCTTTGTTAAATTCTGGTTAATTTAGTTGCTTATGTGCATCACGATCTTTGCTTTTCCAATGTCTTACTGTGTGATGTGCCCAAAAGGACAGTATCACTGGTCCCTGAAACAACATTCCCCAAAGGCAAGAGATGATGGTCCTGAGCCACCCCCCTTTTAGATGACGTTCACTATCATTGTTGGGTTTGTTTTTTTTTAAGCCATTTGGAGCTTGATGTTGTCTTTCTGGCTAAGCCTCAGAAACTCCCCTTTCTTGGGCAATCTACATGCTGGTCCTGTTGTCCTTGATGGAAATGGGTTTTGAGATCGGGGTGGCTACACACAGAATGTGGGTACCCTTGGGTTAGGCATTAGGATTTCTTATTTGAAGAGAGATCTGTAAGCATATGCTCACTGATGTCACAGCTTTGGCCTGAGGACTGCTGGCTTTGGTAGTACTCTGATTTCCCACAAGTTCTACCCACTGCAACAGATTCTTAAGTAAAGTCCTGGAGCTGAGCTTTCCTTGAACCTCCTTTTCAGCTGCTGCTTCTTCTTCCTTCCTAAGAAGCTCCTCCTCCGCTTCCGTCAGGCGATGCCTCAGTGCAGTGACCATGGCCACATCCACTTGTCTGTTCAGGGCCCTCTCCCATCTCTGAACTTACTGCTTTTTCTGAATCTGCTGCACGAACTTATAAAAGTTCAGCAGTTTTCTGGGCCAACTCTTTGGTGAGTTTATTGATTCTCTTTCTTTCTTGCTCTTTCTCCTATCCACAGCCTCAATGACTCAATTGAATTTTTTTCTGACATGTGCCTCAAAAGAGGCTTTTGTGTCTGAGGTGAGAAGTCCAGGACTCGACTGTGACCCATGCAGTGAGTCTGCACCTATCCACAGGTCTTCATGTTTGACACTGGCCTCCCTGCCACCACCTCAAATAGCTTTCAATCCTTATTCATGTGAAATGCTGTATAAGTTAACATAGCTTGGTTTCTGCTTTATCAATTGCCATGGCTCTTCAATTTTCCCTGTTTCAGGAGTTTGGAGGAAGTGAGTAGTAGTTCCATGGTAAGAAGTTGCATTTTGTCAGAAGTGGTATTTCTTCCTAACTGTGACTAAATTCCAGATGGGCCCTCAAGGACAACAAACTTCTGAATATGGTATGGTCTCCACACCTCGGGCAGCAGAATGTCAGGCACACAACAACATTTTCAAAGGACATATGTGCTCTCTGTCTCTTGCTATGCAAAACCCTACACCACCTCAGGACTCTGCCAGCAAGAAGGCCATTCTTACTCCAGAATGATTGACTCCAGATATTTCTTCTCAACTTTAGGCCTCCAGAACCATGAGCCCAAATAAATATTTTTTTAAGTTAAAAAAAAAAATAAAAGACTTTTCTAATGCATTACTCTAAAAGTCCCAACTTCTTGCTAATGTCGCCTCAAACACAGGCGCTAATGCTGTGCGGGAACCAAGCAATTTTTAGCAGAGCTGTAAATCAGGCTGACCTGGGGCCCACTCCCAAACCCTGTACACCCCAGTAAAAGGACAAGCAGTGTCCAGGGTGGAGCATGGTGCAGGCCAGCCAGTGAGGCAGCGCATCCAGGGGCAGGAGGTAGGTCCTGGGCCCTGGCCTGCCACTCTGCCAGTGCTGTCCTACCAGAGCATTTTCTGAAATAAATAACCACATACCATCTTTGATGGTTCCCCCACTGTGTATAAAGAATACTTCAAAGTCCCTACCCAGGAATGTAAGGCTGTTTGCAATTTAGACTTACTCTGCTTTAAGAGGTATATCTCCCCTACCACTCTCCTACCCTGACTTCTACTTTGTCTTTACTCATGTTTTGTACTCACGGCTTTGGAATACCTCTTCTTTACGTGTTCAACTATATAATCCCAATTTATCTTCCAAGGCTTTCCCTGATAACTCCAACTCCTAAGATTACTAAATTGCTCCTCCACAATGTTCTTATATTATTTTGAATATATCTTGATTTTTCTATTTTAGTGTATTTATACATTATTTATTTAATGATTCATACATCTGTATTTTCTGATATGATTTGAGTTCCATGTAAACAAGAGCTGTCTTACTTACCTTTTCTCTTCAGTTTGGTACACAATAGGTGCAAATGAATTATATACCTACTGTTTTGATTCTAAACATTCTTTTAAATATTAGATCATGTTAAGTCTTACTTCCTCCAAGAAACTTTCTTTCACTGCTTTGGACCTCAGTGTAGTTGCATAATGAAAATGGAGTCATCTCTTTTATATTCAGTACATGGTTCAACCATTAAATGTTAATTATTTGGCATTGTTAATTAAGTGTTACTTGCCCACCCAAAGAGATGCACATGAGTAACTAAGTGATAGGGCAGTTCTTGTAATTTTCTTATGTTCACTATAATACTTGGGCTAATATTTATTCATGGTGGGTTCTGAGACATACTCTAGGTAAGGGATTGGCAAATGTTTCTATGAAATGACAGACAACACGTTTCAAAGTTGGAGAGTCATTAGATCTTTACTGCAATTTATAACTGCTTTTGTAGAGCAAAAGCGGATACAGACAAACTTTAGTTGTGGACAAAGAAATGTGAATGTCATTTAATTTTCATGTGTCATAAATATGATTTAATTTTTAATTTTTTCCCAACCATCTAAAAACATAAAAATCATTCTTGATAGGTAACACCAAAACAAGGGGCAGGTCACAGTTTGCCAATCCCTGCTCTAGATAGATGCATTCATCTATACTATAAGACAATTCAGTTGTCAAATACCCAAGAGAAACATTAATGCATTTATCGAAATACCTTCGTTCAGCACGCTCCTTCTTCTTTAAGGCAACATCCAAATCTTGCAACTGTTCCTCTAATTTTTCACATAACAGTTTCTGAAAGAGCAAAATATACATATTTTTCTTCTTGGGATTGAATGCAGGGCCTTATGAATGCTAGGCAAGTACTTTACCACTGAGCTACAACCCCAAACTCTTGAAGAAAACAAAAAACAATTTATTTTTTAAAAATAACAAACTTCTGGGCTGAGGTTGTGGCTCAGTGGTAAAGAGCTTGCCTAGCACGTGTGAAAAAGCACTGGGTTCAATTCTCAACACCTCATAAAAATAAAAAATAAAAAAATAATTAACTTGCCCAGGCTGGACTCAAATTTATGAACTCCTGCCCCAACCTCCTAAGCAGCTGGGATTACAAGCATGAGCCACCTCAACTGACTCTGTCATTTTTCATATTCCTTTTCTCCCAGTACTGAGGATTAAACCCAGGGCCTCACACATGCCAAGTAAGAGCTCTATCACTGAATTACATCCCTAGCCCAATAATTGCCACTTTTAACATCTTTCCACAATCATTTGCCATATCATGTTAAACTCATGGGTATTGTGTAAGAAGAACTGATTAAAGGCCACATAGTTAAGGAATACTGAAGCTTTCCTTGTGTTTATTAAACAGGTGCTTCAGCATCCACTGAAATTAAGATAAGCATAGTATTTTGATGTGAAGCTCACAATACAAAAACATCTAGCTTTGCCAAGAAAATACATTCTATGCCTACCCTGGTAAAAGTAACCAATATTTAAAATATCATTTGGTTCAAAACTATGTAAAACAATGATTATAATTAAAAAAAAAAAGATCATAAGACATTTTTAGGGAGATTATATATACAGTAAAATATAATAGTGCCAATAACAATTTTTTTAAAAAGAATTGGGAAAAAAGTGAAACAATGTTACATGGTTGCTAAGTCAAAACAGATCATGGAAAATGTAAATGATAAAGCTACACTAAGCCAAAGAAGTCCACTTCACTGAGAAATGCATAAAGCCCATCATTTCAAAAGCAAGAGACTGGGTTTATAAGGCAAAATACCCAATTGGTACAATGGCACAGAAATATCCTGTTCTTCAGTTAAAAAAAAAAAAAATCACCTAAATCAAGGTCAAAGAAAAAGAAAATCTGTTTTTCCCAATTCTGATAATTTAATCTATAAAACTACTGACAAAAACAAGGTAGGCAGGAGTGGAAAACAAGGATGAAAGATAAGGAATAAACTATAGAAAGAAACTTATTTCCTCCCTAAATCTAAATTTGGTATTCTCTGTGATTGTAACAAATGTAAGAAAAAATAAATGATAAATTTATAAAAAATTGGTGGGCTTCTGAGAATGGCATTGGAAAAGAGTAAAAGGAAGACCTAAAAGATATTAATAAAAGGTAGGCATCTTGGGACTGGGGCTGTAGCTCAGTGGTAAAGTGCTTGCCTCGCATGTGTGAGGCACTGGGTTTGATCCTCAACACCACATAAAAATAAATAAAGATACCGTGTGTTCATCTACAACTAAATAAATATTTGAAAAAAAAAAGGTAGGCATCTAAATAAGAAGTAAACAACAAGTATAAATGTCTCTGAAAATGGAAGATGTTCAGTGGCAGTTAAAAAATATCACTAATTTGAAACATAAAGCCAAGGGCTGGAGATATGGAGATGGGCTGGGTCATACATGTTGGCAAGGGGGGCAGAACCATTCTCCATCAGGGATGATCATCAAAGGAGGGCGGAGGCAGGCCGTGTGGTATCCACTGTCACAAGAATCACACAGAAGAATCTGAAATAAACCATATTAATGTCAACCTAACTGACTAAATTCAATGACTCTTAAGATAATGACAATTCAATATTTATTAGTACTTATTACAAAGTGCTCTTTATTTGCATAAATCTAATGAATAAAAAAATCTTATAATTAGTAGGAGTCTGAAAATTGGGTATCTGACAATTAGGGATGATGCCACTTTTTTTAAAAAACTTAAAACACCTCCCCCAAAACACTAAAAAAAAAAAAAAAAAAGGTTTAGTACAAAATTTAGTGAAAAATAACAAGTCCTTTCTGAACTAGAGTTACAATCATTTTAAAGTGATTTATCATTGCATAAGGGCAATGATAACATTCCTTATAATAAAGTTTTAAAGCTCAAGTATCATAAACTACTGTTAAAACATATAGAACGAAAGGTTTCCATTTTAAATGCATCTCAATTACATATACGCAACAAACTCATGGTTTCTTTTTTCATGTAAATTCAAATAAGCAAAGGACAGGAATATTTAGATCCATCATGTTTAAATACAAAGGCTAATAATAATTAGTCTTACAGCTGATATTTTTTTGCTTTTTAAATATAGATGATCAACTCTCTAAACTTAACATGGTACACTCATGAATATTTAACTTTTTAAATAACTTTAGATTTATGAAAGAGTTACCAAGATATTAGTTTTCCCATATATCTTCATCAAAGTTTAAAGTTTTACCTAACTATGGGATATCAACCAAAACTAAAAAATTAACACCACTACAATACCAGATTTCACCAGATTTTTCTGATTCTGAATCCAGGATTCTACATTGTCTCCTTACTCTCCTCTGATGTGCAACAGTTACTCAGCCTTTCTTTTCCATGATTTTGACAGTTTTGAAAGATACTAATTCAAATAATTTGTAGATTGTCCCTGAATTTGTGTTTGTTTAATATTTTCTAATGATCAGACTGGGGTTATGGGTTTTCAAGAATGCCACCGAGGTATATCCTATTACATAGTCCATGAAAACAATATGACTTATTATTGGTGATATTAACATTGATCACTTAGTTTTAGTTGCGTCTATTGGTTTCCTCTACTGTAAAGCTATTACTTTTCACTTTTTTCTTTAATACATATTTTTTAGATGTTGATGTGCCTTTATTTTATTAATTTCTATATGGTGCTGAGGATTCAACCCTGTGCCTCACACATGCTATACAAGTGCTTTGCAACTAAGCCCCAGCCCCTACTTTTCACTTTTCATAAACTATACTCAAGATAAATGGAGCTCATACTCAAGGGGAGGGGAAATAAATTTTCCAGTATCAAACAATCTGTGGATATGAATTAAAAATCATTATAGTAATTAATAAATATTCTGGAGGAAGACATGATAAAGCTGTGCAAATATCTTATTTTCCACTTAAATTTTTGCCCACTAGTGGAATTGTTGTGTAAAGAAAAAATGTCTCTTTACCCACACTCATTTGTTTATTCAATGATTTATTTATATCAATATGAACTAATGAATACTTATTATTATTTAGGTTATAATCCAAAGCTGTCATCATTTAATTTGTTGTTATAATTGTTCAGCAATGGACATAATGGAAGCTCTTTCACATTGGACTGTTCCTTTATTGTAAAATGGAATTCGGAAAGCAGGGTTCGGGTAGTCCTTCTTGTTACTGGACATCACTAATGCAAAGCTCTTTTAGAGGTCAGAGCAACAAATAAACAAACATATCTATGTATATATATGTGTATACAGTAAAATATAATAGTGCCAATATAATAGTCGGCCCCATTGTCTGCCCCACTGTGAAAATAGGAGACTTTCTCACATTTTAAAAGGGGCAAATGCATGCATAGAATAGTCACACGTGCACTCATACACGCATACATATGCATGTATACAGATACATCTATATTTCTTCATCTATATTAAAATAAGAATGAGTTCATACTAATATCCCTAGCTCTAATCCAGCATTACAGAACTGATTCTACCTCTGGTCTTGCTAAAAGTGACTAGGTTCCTATTAGGTACACTTTTACTTATTTGCTCAAACCTTGCATGCATGTAAGTTTCTGAAACTATAATGCATAGTTTTACAGGGGGAAGGAAGGTTGAAAGTGGAAAAATACCTTCCACCCTCTCCATACAATGTATTACCAATTGATGCTGATGACCAAGATTCAGTCTTCAGTAATTTTGGTATTATATCTCGGTTATATAATCATATATATACTCATTCTTATTTAATTGATTACATAGGCATATGTAGACTAACCCAGGCACCCAATTCCATTTGTCACATTGTGTGTGTGTGGTTTTTTTTTTGTTTGTTTGTTTTGGTGGTGCTGGGGATTGAACCCAGGGCCTTGTGCATATGAGGCAAGCACTCTACCAACCGAGCCATATACCTAGCTCCATTATCACATTGTTTCTATGGTAAAATATAATCTAAATTTCAAATAATAAAATACAAATAAACACTTAGTCTCCAGTTCAGAAATCAGTTGAGTTCTATCTCTACTCCTTAATAAAGGTAAAATCCTCCTAAATAAAGACAATCATGTAAGATTCCCAGGCCTCATACAATGATGCATTTATTTTGACTAAAGCAGCTAGAAAATTCCAGGGTTCTACATTTACTTAACAATTTATTTCTTTTATGTTATAAGCGCAATGAGGACAAGAATCATGTATTTTTAGCTCAGCATCATATCTGTACCATTTAATGTATACTAACTGCTTATTATTTTGATTTGAGGGTTACCCTTAAGCATAAGAAATCCATGACATAAGAAATCCATCATACTAGGGATCTTCAGTTTCTAAAGTCATTCTCTTTAGCAYAGTAAACAGCAATGGGATTTTCCACATAGTCATGAAAATAGCCAAATAAATATAAATCCTATGTGTGCTCCAAGAAGAGGGCAACTCTCTGAGACAATTAGAGATTCTCATGAAATAGGACTCCTTAGGATTTAAGGGATTAAAACCTCTCAGGGGAAGTAAGACAGATAATCTACCCCTTAGTCTCAATGGAGTTAACAGCCTAACTAGAAAATTAGAAGTTAAAAAGTGAACCAATCTTCAAGGCTTATAGAAATACGATAACAAACCAGGAGATGCAAGGCCAAGAAGTCAGCTCAGCCTTTTTAAAAAATGTGTTCAGTAGAAGCACCAAGAAGCTAGAGCCAGAAAAAGCAAAATCACTAAGGTAAGGCCACTGAGATAGGAAAATAGTTGGCCCCATTGTCTGCCCCACTGTGAAAATAGGAGAGACTTTCTAACAAGAAAAGGGGCAAATGCATGCATAGAATAGTCACTTAAGTAACCTAGAGTTGCCTTTATCTTGTTATCATAGAATACACTTCCCTAGGTAGAGACCAAAGATGGTAATGAGATATGTGCCATGTGAAGAAACATGATGAAGAATAGCAAAAATGCACACCCAAAACTCTACCTCTACAATGATGACATCAAGAGCCCAGGACTCTGCCTACCATGTGGATGCCATAAAAGCTGTATTCCTCTATCCTTAATCCTTTGATGGAGCAGCCTGGTCTCCCTGTGGATCTTAAACCTAGTACATATCTATCAGGAACTCTACCAGGCAATCTTTTTTGTTTTCTTTTTCTTCCTCCCACCATTTCCCCCCCCATACTGGGGATTTAACACAGGAGTGCTTTACCACTGAGCTACATCCCCTACCCTTTTTGTTTTTWAAAAAATTTTTTTATTAGTTGTAGGTGGACATAATATCTTTATTTTATTTGTTTATTTTTATGTGGTGCCGGGGATCAAACCCAGTGCTTCACGCATGCTAGGCAAAAGTTCTACCCATGCAAAAGTTCTACCGCTGAGCCCTAATCCCAGCCCCACTTCCCCCACCCTTTTTATTTTGCAACAGAGTCTTACTAAGTTGCTTAGACCTTGCTAACTTGCTAAGGCTACCCTTAAACTTGCAATTCTCCTGCCTTGAGTCTCCCAAGTCACTGGGATTACAGGCATGTGCCACAGCAGCCAGCACCCAGGCATGTGCCATAGCACCTGAGTTTTTAAAATACCCTTCAGAAATATGCAGTAGAAGTCCCATTTTATAATAAAGACATCAAGATACAGAGAAGAAAACACTGATAAGTGGCAGAAGCATGACCTATATCCACGTCTTTCTGACCCCTTGCTTTTTTTATTATATCACACTGCTTTTTAGAAAAAAAGAACCTAGAGAACCATCTCTTATGTTTTGAAACATCAGAAAATCTTGAGATGTTTCTGCTCAACACATATAAGAGGATCATTCTTTATGTTTATCTCTACTTAATAGTTGAAAGTTGTTAAAGTCAAATCTACTCAAAGGAAGAGCAGAACTGCATACAATTGGGCATAATCAGAGTGTTTCTTCAACAAACTCCTTATGAACTGCAATATAATGTATATTGACTAAGAAGTGGTTCTCCTGATGTAGGCCACCCTTGAAGAGTTTACTTCTTGGGTAAGAAAGCTCCACATAGTTTTGATAATGTTTTTCCAAACATATCTAGACTATATGCAACTTCCAGTATTGAAAAATTTAAAGCCCATTGGGTTACTACTTTTTATGCTTTTAGAGGAAGGCAATAAGGCCTTCATAGGTTGAACTTACTTGATGGCACTTCAGAAATATATTTTTTAAAAAACTTAAAGGAACTGAATAGAATTAGTTGAATAAATTAATTGATTTGTGAGAAGAGAACAAGGTGTATACTTATTAGGTACAGAAAATGTCTACATATAAAATAGCTACAATAAAAACAAAACCTTTATCCTTGGCCTTCTCAAACTGGCATTATTAGTTGAGAAACAGAAATAGAGGTTACTTTCTAGAATACATACTCTGTAGAATGAAAAAATTTCATGATCAAACCCAGATGAGTCAGGCTGCTCCAGGCAACCACAGCTTCCTATGACTATGAACATTGTTCATTTAGATCAGGTACATACTAGTTCAGGATGATTAGGAAGGCCACATTTTTTGCATGGTTCATCATCGTCTGCTATGATGGCTTCTTCACTTTCCTTTTCTTCTTCCTCTTCTGAAGCTGCGGATGATTTTTCACTGTCAGACCCGTCACTTTCATCATTACTGGAATATTTCCACCTGCCTCGTGTTCGAGAACCAGTCCACCGAACTTTGCCTTTGGGTTTTACCTTGGGCAAAATAAAAAATTGACATAATTTGATATAAGAAGAAAAAAAAAAACTAAGCTCCTCCTGATTGCATGTCCCATGTGGAATACATGAAGAAAAAAATAAAAATTATAGTCTGATCACCTGGATATACCTACTATTAAATTTTGGTGTATATATTCACTACTATTTTCTGGTTTGGGGAGAGTTTTACATGGGATTATAATGTCATATAGTTTTTATGTCATATACTTAATTTTTGATCATTGTATGTTCTCCTTACTATTAGTGACTATATAATACGTTATCACATGGCTGCATCTATATGCTATCATCTGGGTGTATATATCACCTATAGACATCTAGGTAGTTGTTTCCCATTTTTTCACTTTCATGAATAATGTATCCGTTGAAATATAAATTTTAACACACATCGTGATGGTTAGGATAAATTCCTCGAAGCGGATTCTGGGTCAAAGGCCATGTACATTTTAAAGGTTCTATCAATAACAGAAGGATGACTATATACCTGCTTATTATTATGCAAAAAATGTAAAGCTTTAATAATATTAAAGATGAACCTAAAAATTTCAAGAGGGTCAGACTTGCATAAAAAATGCTGACAAATTTTAAAAGAATATTATTCAGAGAATAAATTTCCAACATTGTTAACAATTTTTTATTGCCTAGTTTTATAATCTTTTTTAAATATTTAATTTTTAGTTGTAGTTGGACACAATACCTTTATTTTATTTATTTATTTTTATGTGTGCTGAGGATTGAACCCAGGGCCTTGCACATGCTAGGCAAGTGATCTACCGCTGAGCCACAACCCCAGCCCCAATTTTATATCTTTTAATGCATATTTCATTTCATTCTCATACTACAGGTCTCCAGCAAAGAACTAAATAATTTTTATCAGAAAACGTTTTTCAAAGTATAGAATTAAAAACTCAGTATTTCAGGGAACAAAGGTTCACCGCAACGAAGAATAACCGTATCCTTTAAATAAATTAAAAACAACTCTTGTTTTTAATTTATTTAAACGATAACACTAGTCAAAGATTTGTATATTTTACTTAAAATGAGGTGGTTACAGAAAAAAGAATTCTGGCTTCCAAGACTAATGATTTAAATGGTGGAAACAGGCACTCTCAGATACTGGTAAGGAAATGATATATTACTAGGGCCTTTTTGGAGGCAATGTGGCATGCCCCTTGACCCAGCAATTCCAATTCTAGGAGTCTATTCTAAAGAAATACTCACTCATGTCCAAATGGATCTTCAATGCAGCATTGCCTGTAATAGTGAAAAATTGGAAACAACCTAATGTCAATTAATAAGGGAGTGGTTAAAAGAACTSAGGTATATCCACAATATGAAAATACTATGTGGCCATTAATAAACACAAGTAGACTGATCTCCTGACATGGAAAAATAGATACACTGTTAAGTAAAGCACTCACAAAAAAATGAACACATAGGACCCGATTTATTTTGTAAATGATAGGTAAAATGTTTATAAACATATATATGAATGCATGAAAAACAGATTGAAACAGTATGCACGCCAATCTGTAAAACTGGTTATGGGAAATTTCATTTTATAATCCTACAGGTTGTGTATTTTTTTTAGAGAGAGAGAGAGAAAGAGAGAAAGAGAGAGAGAAAGAGAGAGATAATTTTTTAAATATTTATTTTTTTTCAGTTTTCGGTGGACACAATGTCTTTATTTTATTTTTATGTGGTGCTGAGGATCGAACCCAGAGCCCCGCACATGCCAGGCAAGCACGTTACTGCTTGAGCCACATCCCCAGCCCCACAGATTGTGTATTACTTGAATAATTTACAACAAGAATATATTTCTAATACTGCCTGTAATAGAAAAAAAAGTTTAAAAGATAAGAATGACTATGCTTTAGCTAAAGCAAAAAAGCTATAAACACTCAGATTTAAATATTTCTAATTAAAATTTAAAATTCAGAGTTGTTTTACCTTGCCTCCTTTAGAGTTTGTATCCTTCTCCAGTTTTTTCAAATTTTCTTTTTTGTCTGTTTTTTGCAAGGCTGCTGACTCTTCTTCCACTTCATCTTCTCCTTCCCCTCTTTTTTTATCAGCTTTCTGATCTCTGATCTCAGCCACTTTTGCTGTAGGTCTAGATATTCTTGGAGACCTCCTTAAAGTAGGGCCCACATTTGTTTTCTCTTCTTCTTTTTCTGTCTTCTCTTGCTTGCTTTCTGGTTCTGGAATTTGGGCAGGACAATCTGGCTTCTTCTTCCGACTAGATATCCTAATTGTTAATTTGATGCCTTCTTTCTGCCTTTCAGAGGTTATCTCTGTATTTTCTGAGGCAGTTGTTTCTTCTTCAGGAACCAACTTATATTTAAATTTGCTTTTTTGCACAGAACCCTTTGTTTCAGAAGGATCCTCATTGTCTAGATTATCCATTTCTACTTTCTTGGACTCAGAATCCCTTTTAAGAATTTCTGGGTCTACTTTTTCCAGGAACTGACCTTCAAAAGAACTTGTACTCTGACACTCTATTCCTTCTTTTTCTAAGTCTGGTTTTTCACAATGCCTAGTCATTTTAGTTGGTGGGAAAGTTTCAGATGCATCAGGAGGACTTGGTGGTTCTGATCCTAGAGTACTCTTTGGAACTTCTTCTGGTATGGGACTCAATCTTTGTGAGTCTTTATCAAGAAAAGTCTTTTTGGACTTCTCTAATTTTTCAAGACATTCTAGGATTGGTGGACTCTTATCCTTCTTACTTTTGGGGGACTTCTCTTCTAATTTCATGGTACAGGATTCAGTGACAGATAAAGCAGTTTTTAAAGAGAGATCCTTTACTATCTCAGAAGACTCAAGAGAAGTTTCCATTTCTGGAGGACCAGGTTCCTCTAACTGCCCTTTTTGACTGTGGGTCTCTAAGACTGAGACTGAACTATCTACAACCTTTCCTAAAAGGACTTCTTTCTCAAGCTCACTTATTTTTAAACTCGTTATGACAGAATTTAAGCATTCTGCTCCATTCCCCTCCATGATGACACTTCTATCCTTAGAAGGGCTATTGTAGACATCTTCCTTTGTATCATAAAACTTTGTCTCTATTTGTTCTGTCTTCAAAGTTGGAGTTATCTTTTCATCACCAACTTCTCCATTTACCATTAGTCTCCCTTCATGACTCAAAGTAGTAATGGTAGAGATCCTTTTACAAGTCTCTTCCTCTTGTTTTACTTCATCTTTTAAAAACTCTTTTGTTGGAGTAACTGATTTACATAAAGGTCCTTTGACTGGACTGTCAAAATCATCACTCAGTTTAATTTCTCGTTTTTTTAGTGGAATCTTGGCTTGCTGGTCATTTTTAAGTTTCTCAGTTTCTTCAGTAGATTTCTCTGTAATTTCTTGAGAAGATCTGATATTGCCACTAAACTCTAGCCTCTCGGGTTCCTGTACCACCAGTTTCTCCATGCTACCTTTGACATCTTTGGGATCTGCTCTACATTCCTTCACTTCAACTTTAATGGGTTTGACATTTTCCTTGAAAGAATCACTTTCTTCTTTGACAATCTTTTTTTCCTCGATTTCTGGCAAAGTTTTTTCTACCTTCACTATTACTGGCAGTTTCACAAGTTCCTTTTGATCTTCTTTTTCAACTTTCATAGTAGTCTCTTCTAGAACACTGGCTGTAGAACAATTTACTGAATCTACTAGCCGAGCTTCACCTTTTGTCTTTTCATTTTCCTTTTGTTCCTCTAAAAAAATAAAAATCAGAAAAAGTTTAAGTGAACAGAGCTTTCAAGATTATAATATATAACAGACTTAGTTTATTTCCATTTATTGTTTCTCTCTTCGCAGGGGTAGCATATCTTTGTGATTGGGTATTTGACCTTCCCCCCCAAAAAATCTGACAGTTAAGAAAATGACAAAATTGTGAAGCACAACTTCCAGATATTAAAAAATTGCTATTTAGACAGACTCATGTTACTGCTTTTTACTTTTAGTTTCAGTGTTCTCAATAGAATGTAAATATTTATACAGCTCAAATAATTTAGTCAAGTTTAAGGGATGGCTCAAAAATATGAAGCAGAAAATGCTACATAAAACATTGCCAAAAGGCCATATTTGTTTCATAAACTGACAATGTTCTTCTTTGCAAGTCACTGAGGACTTTATTTCAGTGAAGTAACATGAGCAGAAGAAAAATGAAAAAGGAAAAAAAAAAGAATGCTAAAAGGGAACTGCTAATAATATTTTAGGCTACTTCTGGTAATTATTTTTCACAAAATTGGGGTCACTCTGCTTTCAATTTTTTACAGAAACATTAGCACTTTTTTATGTTATGTGACCTTTTCAAAAATCAATATTCATGACTATATAACATGCCTTGATGTGGTTATGCTACAGTTCACTTTACGAAATGGCTTTATTGATCATTTAAGTTAATATTTTACAAAGAAACTATTAATGCTTATATTTCATTGCCTCTTTTTACCTTGTTGACTATGTATTTTCAGCCTTAACAAAGTACCTAATAGTACATATTTAAACATAACAAAAGCTAAAATCAAGTAAAACGCATAAATCTCATGGGTAATCACAGAGATTCCACTGTATTTTCCAAATAAATTACTACTAATTTCAGTACATTTTCCATCCTTTCACCTTATCCTTGGAATGGAAACACTTTAATTCTAAACGAAGTTTTACTGAGATATAAACTTAAAAACTTGAAGATTTTTGTCAATAAGCAAAGAGTAACAATTCAGAAGGATATAAGTGGAGTAGATAAAAAGTGGGGAGATGAAACAGTRCATTTCTTAAAAATGAGAATTCTATTTTTAACTAAAGTGAATATTTTTTACTACAAACTTCTTAAAAAATATCTAATCATGTTTCAAATAAAATACTCAAAAACCATTTAGGACTCTTTGGACCTCAAGATTAAAGTATCAGAAAGTACACAGATGCATTCTACCATCATGTATAACTAATTAAAACAAATTTAAAAATTAATAAAAAGAAGATTAACTATTAGTATTATTCTTCCTTCTTTATACCATTAGTGCTTTAAGGTGAGACAATAGTGATGATTCATGTCTTCCCATCCCTTTCTCACTTATTAAGCTTGGTAAGTATATTAGCAAAACTAATTTAATATTTTAACAGATAAACCCAAATTACTATCTTTTAAATTAATTTCAACCAAACATTGTTAATACTGACTATTTCTTCTATATACTTGTGGTTCAGGCAGCATGATAGAACCTCACTGTGATCCTGAATCAAGGTAAGAAAACATGTTTTTATTTGGAGTCACTGATTTTAATTTGAGTAACAGTATGGCAGAATGAAATGAKAGATAAAATTAGATTGAAAACTCTTGGGTTTACCAAACCTAATTCAGATAGTGGTATGTTATACTTGTACATAGTTGTACTAACACATCTTTTGTACCAACACAATTTTCTGCCCTTGTTACTTAATCTACTAATAAAGCAGCTGAACTAAATAATCTCCCCTAGTATTCTTCAAAAGTGTTGTATTTCTGTAATTCCAAAAATGTTAAATCATTGAAAATTTAGGATATGGTTAAGTCCTTTTAAGAGAAAAATTTGATAATTATTATTATAGCTCCCCTACATTACATGGATATGTATACAGAACAGAAGGATCCTGACAGAATATGAACTTTTGAAAGCAATAGTAACTGGCGAAAAGGTCATTCAATTATACAAACATTTCCCCAAGGGTAGTCAAAAGGAAATTGTAAATGAGTTTAAGAGGCATGAAATTTGAGGCAACAAAACTAAAGGAAAAAAATCACTTCAAAAATCACAATGCAGCAGCAACATTTCTCAATAAACTTAAGATGATTCAAGAGAACAGGTATCTAATGCAGGTTTTTCAAAGCTGATCCATTCATTCACTCAACAAATGTTTATTTATTATCTATTATGAGATTTCTCACCCAGTATAGCAGGGTGAGAAATCAAACACTGCATATTCCATGTAAATTAACAGTAGAGGACATCGATAGTTGCTACTCAATATTTAATCTCATCTTTTGTACTAACACAACTCTGACTTTGTTTAGGATGCCTCCTTGATCAAGCACCTTATAGCAATGGGTCATATGATATAGTAATGATCAATGAGATGCATGAAGATATCATGAATAAGAGGATTCAGTTGAACTGCATTGTTACCCTAATTTAATTTTTTGTGTGTGTGTCTAGACTCTGAACATCATACCTCCAGGAGCAATCAAAGCCACAAGAAAAAAACAGAAACAGACTAAGTAAAGTTCTTGACTTCGTGGAGCTCCCAATTCAGACTAGACTCACCACTTTTCATTATAAGAAAAAAATTTTAAAGTCAAATGCATTTCTTTCTGATATTTTAACTTTCACTTTTGTTTCTTACTATCCTTGTTTCCCATGCTCACAAAAATCTATGTATCTACTTCTTATATTTTACACTTGTCATCTTTAGTGTGATAAAGGGGTAACTAATCCATAATAAAGTTTTAGTTATTTTATAATGCTCGTATTTTGCAATTAGACATGAGAAAACTCAAAACAATAGAGTAGTTCCAAACTAAAATCTTAAAAACTTACACGTAAATTAGCACAAACACTTAACAGAACAATTTAGAATTATCTGTTTTAAGCTTAAAGAAATGTACTCCATCACTAAGAAATTCTATTTCTAGAGAGTACAATTACATACAACTACCCAGAAATATATACATGAATATTTACTGCAGTACTGCTGTAGAAATAAAAAACAAGAAAAATTCTAATACAGCTCAAATAGGGAAAAGGACAAATAACCACTTTATGATGAATAAAATGGAAAAAAAAAAGAATGTATATGGATTAACACACATAAATGTCAAAAACAGAATGAGTAACAAGTTGTAAAAGACTAGGAACAGCAGGATTTTGTGGAGGGGGTACTGGGAATTGAAGGAGCAAAGCAACATCCTCAATWATTTTTATTTTTTGTATTTTGAGACAGGGTCTTGCTAAATTGCAGATTCTGGGCTCGGACTTGAGATCTCTGGCCAGAGTTTACCAAGTCACTGAGATTACAGGTGTGAGCCACAGCGCCCAGCCAATAAAATACGTTTTTTAGTAAAGTTATGAAACACTCAAACCAATGCTATCTATTAAAGTGACCATATACATATGTGCAAAAAACAAATGACAGGAAGTGAGTCACAGGGTTGTAGTTACTCCTGAAAATGGAATAAGGAGGAATGAGAAGGAAAGTGAAAAGAAGTACCACCTATTTTTTAAACAAAAGAAATTTGGGCAAATCATTGAGAACTACTATATCAAAATGTTGGGTATACAGTATTTTACATTCTTTGTTTATCTGAACTGATTCATTAAAAATTGAAAAGGTCACTTGAGCTCACACACCTAAAATTCCAGTGACTCAGGAGGCTAAGACAGGAGGACAGCATGTTCCAGGCTAGCCTCAGCACCTAGAAAGACCTTGTCACGGGGCTGGGGATGTGGCTCAAGTGGTAGTGCGCTCGCCTGGCATGCGTGTGGCCCGGGTTCGATCCTCAGCACCACATACAAACAAAAGATGTTGTGTCTGCCGATAACTAAAAAATAAATATTAAATTTTTCTTTCTCTCTCCTCTCACTCTCTCTAAAAAAAAAAAAAAAAAAAGAAAAAGAAAAAAAAAAAGACCTTGTCACAAAATAAAAAATGGCAGAGATATGAAAAATTGTGGGTATATATGTGTATTAATAATTGTAATGCAAAAAAAGAAGTACATGTATAAAAGCATAAATTGGCACGAACATACTTTATATACAGAGATATGAAAAACTGTGCTCATATGTATAATAAAAATTATAATGCATTGCACTGTGGAATAGCTGAACTTTTTTAAATGAAGTATATGGACCACTTTTGCATAGTACTTGGGAATCATTATTAATTATTTGGCACCATTTTCTTACCATTAACTTTAGCCACATCAGAACATTCAGGATTTAAAAGAAGAAGGGGGGAGCGGGGTGGGGAAGGAGGAGAAGGAGGGAAAGGTGGGAAGGAGGATGAGGAGGAGGAAAATTAGTTCAGAATTTCCCAAAGCTGCGACTAACAGTTTTCCTCTGTTAACTCACAAAAAGCCATTTATATCTATTCTGCAGCTTTTACCATTCCTCACTTTCTCCATTGATTAAAAAGTTACATAAAACGGTTAAATATCATCAACTATTTTCTAGGGTTTTTAACGACTGCAGGTAATACAACATCCAAGTCCTTCAGGCAAGTGGCCATGGCAAGCACTCAATGTCAACTATATAATTATTATATTACTGGCAAAATCTTTCAGCCTTCAAGCACAGTTAGAAACTCGCTGTTTTATAGTTCTATTAACYGATACTTTCCCTAAAAAGAATTAACAAATTTTCCTCTGTTTGCACATTACTTTATATAGATTTTTATAATAGCATTTATTACCCCACATTATAATTATTTACTCAGAAATGTTATCTGTCCTACTGGTCTGAAGAATTACTCCTCTGGAGCAGAATCATGGATTATTCACTGTAGGACACCTGCTTAAGTAGACTGAACAAATTGAAATGGCAACAAATCCTACCCCACATATTGACAAATTAACAGGAAGCAGATTGTAAATCAATATTTAATTTAAAATTATTTTAAGTATATCTGATCAATTTACAAAGTAAGATTTGGGCAAGGACATACATATTTAACAGAT